TTTGCTCTCACAAAAGTCATACTTGAGCCCAGAAGGATAATCGGTGGGGAACTGCTGAAGCAGGCACAACAAATTATTGTTTTAAACTACTAATATTTTTGGTGTGCTTTTTCCTGATTTCTTTCACTGGTAACTAAGGGTGTGTTTGGGTATTAGAAGTCCATTGTTCTCAGTGAATAGTTAAAGGAAGGACAAGAGGTGAACTGTGTTTTAGTTTCAGGAAGACAGAAATGTTAGGTTAATTGGGGAAAAAGCCAAGTTTCATGGCTGTAAGAATGGCTGAATGGTGAAATGAATGACAAAATTAAACTTTAAGTAGTTTGTAAAGCTTCAGTTAAGGATGATTTAAATATAATCCTCCCTCATTGTGAAATGAAAATAAAACTCAGTGAGAAGTAACAGCTGGACTTGGATTAGAGTTCAAATCCACACTCACAGAGGAACTGGCAATATTTCAAACTTGGATACCTATCTGTAAAGTAAGGATACAATATTTGAGTCAAGGGGACTTAATGAAATAAAGATTATGAACTTTGAGGAAGTTGTATAAATAACTGCCTCCCAACAAGGAGAGAGAGTAAGTGTGTGTTTAGGGCATGTACAGCCTTTTCATAAGGGTTAGATATTTATTCAAATAGAACTATTGCAGTATTGTCTAACTATGACATGGATAGAGAATGATACTATTTTAAACATCTAGATTCATTTTATTCTAATCTTTATGGGTATCAATTAGACAAAAAAATCTGAATTATGTTATTGTTGTAAAAAGAAAGATTTCTTTTGCATTATGCCAATTCTATTTTCCTGGGCTCCAGTAAAATGAGATCAAACAAAATTGCTCCAGCCCAACAAGGAAGATCAATATGTGAAGCCCACGAGGGAAAATGTTGGTTAATCTAGGGTGCTTCCAGATGAGACTCATCATGCAATCATCCTGCCTCATTCATGAAATTTTAGAGGGGCTCCAAATGTCATCTTCTGCTTGTAACCCTCTTGTATTTTCTGACCACTTTTTCCACCTTCTAACCCAAAACCTCAGTTAAGGGAAGGACAGAATAGCTGTACTGAATTTTCTTATGAAATCAATTGGGTTTTCACATGGGGAAGAAAATAAGCAACTGTCCCATTGCTCCCCAGCACTACCAAAACATACTATTCTCTTTATTCAACATTGCATTGAAAAATGTATATATCTCAATTTAGCATATGTATTTCCCATTATAGCAGTATTAAAAATTTGCATCAGGAAAGATCAGAAGGATTACCAAACATAGCAACAAGAGTGAAATACATTGTAGACTAAACCTGACAGCAATAGAACTAGGTTACACAGATCAAAAGGCCATCAAAATGAACACTCCTTCAATTTTGGAGAAAAGAAAAAAGAGAAGGTCTGACAAATTTCACCTGGGGAAACATTCTGGAGCTGTGGCACCACTGTGCATACAGATCCTGCACCTCATAATCACTCACTGAATCTCTCACGATGGCACAGAAGCCTTTGATGTTAATTCTGGGATGGATGTATATGGAGTAAACAGGCCCAAAGATACTCTGTTCCTAAATTGTGCAGGGCTTTAAAGGTTAGTACTGGTACTTTAGACAAAAGCAGGAATTAAATTTAATTAATCCAACATTTAATCTTTCTACTAATAATAAATTCAACAAGTTGAGTGCCTGTTAGCAAACTGAGGCTATCCAAAAATAAGGTAGTAGTTTTGATATAGCTGGTGATAACCCTGGTACATAAAGATATATTAATTTGTAAATAAGAGTAGTATTTTATTTATTGGATTTTATTGGAATAGTAGTAAACACAGTTGCCCAAATTACAGTTATACTAAAACCTGGATTTTCACTGTTTCCTTTGTGCAGCTCTCACTTCTGTCCTAGTAGAGGGGGGAAAGGGTCTAAAGGAACAGAAGACAAACAAACCATGCAAGTCTTCAGTATGGCTAAGAGCAGATGAAACACAGAATGTTGACAATGTCTGTTCAGAGTGGAGAAGAGGGAAAGGAAAATAGAACACAGAAGCAGACAGATTCTAACAGTTTATACAGTAAGTATAACAGAGGAGAAAATGTGTATTCTAAGATTAAGATTCTCATCTCTTTGTATGGATGGTGCAGGAAAATAAAAGAGGGTGGATGGGAATATCTGCCCAGTCTACAGAGCCCTATTTCACTATATAACAATAAGATGCTCAGACCAAGGCAACCAGCTCTCCAATTTAATGATGCAGGAAGGCCTCCAGGGGCAGGGAAATAAGAGAAGCCCCCCTTTTTGTCCCCTAGCTGAGGGGGAAGCAAGAAGGCTCCTGCTTCAAGGTCGCTGGATCTCTGGATGGGAACCTGCCTCTAATAGGCTGCGACAGTTTGCTGAAGGTCTTCCTTATACTCTTAAAAGTACTGAAGAGTCTAGTTTGTTTTACAGAAATCAATGATATTCAAGGGTATATTTCTTATACTCTGAACAAAAAAGTCTTTACTATCCTCATACCTCACTTAACAATCTGTTAAAACCATGGCTTCTCTAGTAATAATGGTATTTTGCTTTCTCTGACAGATGGCAACTCCAACCAGCAGGACCCCTACATGGCTGCTTGGCTCTGAGAACTGAATTCCATAGGCTTTTGAACAATTGAAACGCCCCGTGGATTCAGTTCTACAGCTAGACAGCAACTAGACTTCAGGGAAGCTGCAAAGTCCAGCCTCACACATATTCCCTTGGGTTGCCAAGGGCCTCTGTCAAGACTGATTGCTATACAGACCCACCCAGCTGAACATTTGCTACCAACTGGCTCTTGCAGCCGAGTACTGATTGCTCTTCAACAGCCACAGTGGCTCTATTTTAAGTATCTCTACCATAAGCCAAAAGCAGCTCAGTTCCCCAAACTACAGAGGTTTCCCTGGTGCCCTCTTCTCCCCCAAGTGCTAATATTGTGGTTTCATTATTTTGCTTGTCCTCCCATTCCAATAGGTTGCACTGCCTCTTCTAAGTAAAGCTTGTTACTGGCACTACACACTTTAAGTTTAAATAGCCTGGTATTCTGCCTTTGATCCCACCCACTATTAGAATGCAGCCCCCCCCATGTGCTTCTCCAAATTGAACTTGGCCCTTGGACCCAAGAGGCACAACACCTGAGAAGCTGCTGTTGCAAAAGCATTGAAATGTATTTATCACTCACCAATTTTCTGCTTCTAAAAATCAACAAATGAAAGCTACCATGGTGTGGTGAAAAGAATGGCAGTTGGATACAGGATGGCCAGACCCAGCTTTCAATGTAGAACCAGCCATAAAACTCTTTTTCATTCATTCTCTCTGTTTAATCCAACCACTAAAATGGTTGCTTTGAATATAACTGTGATTGTAAACCACCTTGGTTACTGTTATAGGAAAAGCATATCCTGCTTTAGCGCAGCTTTTAGCAAATCATCCCTATTTGTGCTGAATCACCATTCACCCACAAGTTACCCTACCTGTTAATACACACAGGAAGGTCTGGGTAAGTAATCACAGAATAGTGTCTGTATGCACATAGGTAAAGCAGTACTCACAAGACATTTGGGATTACAACTAATTCCAGGCTGTACGCCTGATGAACAGGAATTCTGGGAGTTCTAGTCCAAAACATCAGGAGAGCATCATTTTGGGGAAGGCTGGGAAACCAAGAACTAGGCAGCTGCCATTGTTCAGTGAAACAAGATACTAAAATGCAATGATAACTTAGATGTACATCCTATTCCTATGTGCAGTTATTCAGGCCTTAAGTCCCAGAGTTTAATGAGAATTTTTCTCAAGTAACAGGATTGTCACTTAAGTGGCTTAACTTGTATAGGGTCTATAGAAGAATCAACACTGGCAACTCCAAATCCGAGCCAACATCTCTTGAAAAGCATGTAGCTTTATAGATCATGGTATCCATAGTAGAGTTCATGCTTTAGGGATCATTACCTACATTTTGTACCAGGAACAATTATATATGATGCCCATCTCTCTTTCCCCAGAGGTGTATAGTCTGAATGTTCCTACCTACAACTCATAAACATCAAGATAAGCACAGCAATATCAAGGGAACAAACATTACACAAATCTTTTGATTTGCCTCAGGTACCATGAAATGGTGGTTTGTCTCCTTTGTAATTATGGCTCTGCTTTCTTGTCCATTTATGAATTACCTGGTTTTGTTGAAAGTTTTACAATCAGCAGAACAGATATGCCTATCATTTGGTATACTATGTCTTCTGGAAAACACATATTACTAGCAAATTAATACCATCTCCTAAGCATGTAGTCCCACATGCAATATGAACTGGAATAAGTAATTATTTCCATTCTATGTACAAGAACTGTGCATCTCAAGAAGAAATATTCACACAGTAAAATATGCTGGTTTTCCTTTATTTAAAATTCCCCATCATTTGTGTATATATTAGGTTACAAGCTGATGGCCAAGCACAACCTACAGAGTCTCTACAATGCTGGTCTTAGCCACAGTTTAGGAAAGAATCACCAGTGACATAGATTAAATTACAGAAGGTGAGATTCACAGTAAATTTAATTTCTGCTGATTTTTAAAAACTACTCTTCCCATGAGAGCCTTGTGTGTACCTGAAATCACAATGTATGAAAACATCTTCAGTCTACACCTTGTGTAATCTCCTTGAGTTTCTAAATGATTTCACAGTAATCACACCATGGTTATTTAGTTAAGAAGCCATTGTTCACACACATGGGATTGGGGTGGTCAAAAGAGATCTCTGATTGAAAGGGATTAGAGAGAATTCACATAATGTTAAATTGTAAGAAAGGGTGCCACCATTCCAGTTACAGTCATATAGATATAAATACACTACTACTACCACTATCACAGAATCACTAAAAGTTCTATATGCTGGCAGAATGAGCAACATTTCTTAAAGCACCCCTCCCCCCAGTACCAGTTAATACACAAGCCCCAATAACCTGCAGCCACTAGTTATAAAAATATCCTCCCATTTTCTGTTTTGTGCTTATAGTGCCGTTTGCAGCATCACTAATGCTGGCTCTCTTGGATGTAAACACATGAGTATTGTTCAGTCAGTATGGTTTGAACCAACTCCATCATTTCTTTGATTTCTTTTTCTTCTTGCGGCGGTTTTCACTGTTGTCCTCAGCTTCACTAGAAGTTGGGGTGGGTTGCTTTCTGATTATTCTCTTCTCTATCCTGTATTCTTGTTCTCCTATTCGTGGGTCCCCTTTCACAATAAATTCCCCATTGTTGTAGGTTATGTTAACATCAGTCCTTGGGTAGGTGCCATACACCCTTCTGAGATCATCTTTCACAAACTCTGGCAAGTCCCTCCTAGGTCCCACAACCCTCTCAAGCTTACCCCAACGAAGCTCTCCTCTCAAGGTGAACCCTTCAGGCCATGCGTCAAAGCTTGGTCTCTGGTATGCTGCATAAAGTTGATGGTTTGCATAAGGGTTGTACAGGGGAAGAGGGCTCACCTGGGGGAAGTGCCAGAAGGGATAAGGACAGAAGTAGGGACTTGCACCATGGATGTGATGGTACTCCACTTGATTTGCTGGATTGTCATTGTAACCATTGCTGTGGTCCATAATCACAGCAAGAGGCCTGCTGTAGAAGTTGTGTAAGTGGATAGGATGGAACATGGTGGCATGTGGCATTTCAGGCATAGGACTTGACCCAAGGGACAGGTATGCATAAGGAGATGTCTGCATCATGGCTGGATAATATTGAGCCATAGTATTAGAGAGCATATACGGTTTCTTCTCAAGCAAGTGTCATTTCCTCATGTAGCATCCCATCTAGGCTTCTACCAGGCTGTGAAGGTAAAGTAAGAGATGCTGAACTAAGGCAAGGATAGTCCACAAACCTGTTCATATAGATCAGGGTTGGGGAAAATGTGGCCCTCTATGTTGCACTACAGCTTCCATTCTCCTTAGTTAACATAGCCATAGTAAGCGACAATGGGAGTCCAGCAACATATGGGGGGGGCCATATGTTCTCCATCCTCAGTACAGATGAAAGTCTAGTGCCAATAGTTTTAAAACCAAGGAATGCATCTCACATATCCAAATAAGTAGCATAGGATTTATCCAAAAAAACACCCAGTTCTATACACAGAAGCCTAGGTCACTGAAAGACTGAGAAAACCTGGATTAAGACATATATACATTTTTCTAAAGCAACTTTAAAATGCCAACAGTGAAATCAAGGTTAGTTCAAATGCAAAATTCTAAATGAATTTATTGCTGCAAAGGGATATGTGTAGGCAACATATAAAAAATGCAGAAAGTTTTAGATCTTAAGCTGCAATTTTTATAAGCACCATCAGTGTGCATGGTGCTTTAGAGAGGAGACAGAAACCAGGGAAGAAAAGGGAGGCAGGGAACAATATTTGTTTCACTTGTGCAAGTTTAGGTTTTGTTTCAGTAGGGTATGAAACCAAGAGGCTGCACCAAAGGTTTCACAAAAAGCTAAGTTTTGAAGGAAGCTGCTTCCCAAAAGCACACACACCTACAATGTCCATTTTCAGTTTATCGACTGCTTCATATACAGGGTTGGGTGTATGCCTCAGTTCTGTAAGGGTGTACAATGCTGGGCTAGCCACAATAGTAAGCTGAGCATCTCAATTTTTATTTTAGATATTAAAATGCTTATATGGTTGCAGAGATATGCTGCAAAAGATGTTAGCAAAATAAAATCCAGGTGTTTTTCTTTTTTTGCTTTGCTTTCTACCATGCATATGTTGGGAAAATTTGGATAAATTCTGTCAGAAAAACATTGCTTCTGTGTGCTTTTGCATTGTGGAATCAATCCTGTACTCCTTCTCAAAAGCACCAGCTTTCCAAGCTAAGTCACTGTTTAAAATGGCATTCCTCCCCCGCTCCTTTCTCTCATCTTTAGCTGTAAGCTACAGTAGACAGGCCATTCAGTCCAAATATATATTATATACCTTCACAATGATTAAATAATCATTGTTGGAATTCACAGTTTACCAGGAAGTATCTTTTGCTAGCCCAGAGGGCTCCATGTGCCCAGGCCATTCAGAATGGTGCGGATACATTACTTAGGGTCTGAGTCTAGATGAGCTTATGAGTTAATGAATAGTTTCTCAGTAGCTTGAATTTACATGCCTAAGCAGACCTGGAGATGGGTTCAAGTTACTCAACTAAAGTGTCAATGCACTGCAATTAGAAATATTGTAATCTCATTGTCACTGTATGATTGGCTGATCTTCCTTTATCTGTTCTATATGTGATGACCATGATGACCTCAGAATCTTATTGTAATGTCTGCATTCTGTCATCAATTGCTCTGTACCTGTGTACGTGACCAGGAGGGTATAAAATATCCTGCAGTTGTACTGAAACCTTGCAGCGAGTTTACCTCTGCCTGTCTGGTAATGCATTATCGTGAGTCTACCGCGGGAACCTGGGCCAAACAATAAAGCCACAGATGGTCTGAACGCTTGATCTTTCCCACGAACCCAAGTTTTATTTCCTCCTCATGAATTGAAATTCCAGGATTTTCTGACACTTATCTGCTGAAAAGCATGGTTGACTACAGTCAGTTTTGCTTCTTTATTCTACTTTTCCATGGAAGACTGCCCAAAGCAGCTCTCAATAAACCTCAAATATCACAATGCACCACATTTGAAAATCATTCCAAATCACATGTTAAAGGGCTTGTCACACATCTGACTGTGAAAGACTAAGAAAGAGAGCTTCATAATAACATGTGCCCTGAACAATATACAATAGTCATGTGGCTTTGAAACTTGTTGGGACATGTCTCACTTATACACAGTGATGTTGGATAATAGGCAAAAACCAGCAGGCATTCACAAAAACTTTTTTTATATAGGAGTCTATTTACATGCACCTGCTTTGCCAGGATACAGGGACTGCTACAAGCCAATGCAAAGAGATAAGTTATTGTACGTCAGAGAATATATGGCCAAGGCCAAATTAGATACAACGATTTTAATGTAGTTTAACATTGCCTAAGCACTATTTCTCCAAACAGGAACAGAGATCATGGCATGGCAGAAAGGGTGTTTAGTCCTGTGTTGCATAACTCAAATTGTTTACACACCTATTTGCAAAAGGAGAAATGCACCAGTGGGGAAATTTCCTTACATTGTGAATAGTAGGCACAAGGGGGGGGGGGGTGTGGGGGCAATTCCAGCCAGGACTGTGGTGGGGGAAAAAAGCTAAAACCACTCTTGCCCATGCTGCAGTCCCAACCCTGCCCAGTCTCTCCTCCCACCACCAGCTATTGGGGTGAAAACAAAACAAGCTATGTAACACGAAACTGTGGCTACAGTCACAACACAACATTGATTGTTGACACTTCTCAGACTGTAACTGGAAAAGAGTAAGGCAAGTAATCCATTATTTGCGCACATGCTTAAGCATTCCCAAGATCCAAATTCATGATGGCTTCAGCACAGTAGGAGATAGGGTGATAAAGGGTTGATATTAACAACTGTACTTGTGACCTTAGCTTGGGCATTTGGATTTAGCAAGTCAGTACTATATAAGAATGGTAATTAGACACGAGGAAGCAGCTAATATATTAAAAGCATCCTATTAGTTAATCTGCATCCAAGCCAGATGGAAAATACAAAGTTCTGTCACTCTCCATCCCAGTGTTCACAAAGTTACTGCATGCAAAGGAGGTAGCAGAGACCCCTATAACTGATTAAATACTAAGATCTAGTCAACGGCCTCCAAGATGGATAGCAACAAAGAGATTTCTGCAGGCCTGCAGTCAAGGCTTTAGCTGATTAACATGCCCCCAGTAGCACCCACCAACTCACATAATAGACTATGTCAGAACACCCTAACACTTTCTAGTTCTGGCTGTCTCCATCTGTCTTTTTGCTCCAAGATGCTAGTCCCTGACAATGATGACACCCCAGATTCATGGGTTCTAACCCACAACCACATATTTCCTGTCCTCAAGCTCGCTCTCTCTTTCCTTCCAATCACACCTACCCATTCAGTTCTTCCTGTTTAATGATTCTACTCTTGATAGCAAAGCTATACAACCCCACATATGACACTCTATTAAAGACCTACACCCTTTCAGTTCCTTGTAAGGAGTTGGAAGAAGGGATCATGTGGGGCTGAAATGCTTCCTTTAAAAAATAGAACCAACAACACTGCTGGCCTACAGCACGGTGTTTTCCAGAGAATGGCACTCCAACAACTGCTAGCAGCAAGTTGTCAAAGCATAGCACAAGATGCAAGCAAGTGAACACAATTATCTGCCTTCTTTAGGCCTAAAACAGTTCTCAGTTCCAGAGGTCCCCCCCAGGTACTTTTGTTAGAAGAAAAGGGCAAAGAAATTGAGAGCAACCAGGTGCAGCCCTCTTGGAAGGGGTGTGCGTGGTAGAACATCATGGCAACCAACTAGAGAGCTCTAGTACTTACTGTGCTCCCCTTCCTTGCCCTGTCAGAGTAGCAGCTTGATCTCTTGCTGTAGGACTTCTGAAGAGTTATTGTAGCAACTATGCCTAGCTCCTCCCAATTCAGGCCATGTACCAAGGAAACATGGTTTCTAAGCAAAGTGCAACAACCACAGACTTGATGAAGCACAGGTAGAGACAGTTAAGTTCAGCCCCACCCCCATCTACAATTAGCGGGGCGGGGGGGACCTCACAGGTGACTAGAAAAGCACTCCACAAAGACAAATGGAGAAACTGAGTATTATTCTTTTAGCTTTCTTAGCACCAAACCAGTTTCAAAAATCCAAATAAAAAGGGCTTTGTCCCTCTATGCTTTCAGAGAGGAAATTTGCTACTCATTGGTGTATCATATCTAAAATGAGAGATGCCAGGACTCAAACCTGGCTGGAGTGGGTGCAGGTCTGGTCAGTTAAAACTCGATACAAATAAAGAGTTGTTATATCATACTCGTAAGACATGGTACTTTAGCATAGCCTGTTCCATTTGTCTGCTGGTTGTCTGTTTGCAGGGAGCATTTAATTCTTTTTTTAAGACAGGAAATGTTGAAAAATGTACAGTACATCTGTTCTATAGATTATCTTGTTGTAGCACCTAAACCAGACAGCAAGTTATGCTATCTCATAATTTTAATGTTGCCATTGAGACATGTTTTCAGCATAAACTGGACCACCCCAGAGAGGGATCAAAACTAGGGAAGGGATAAACGTATGCCCAACTCATTTGCTTCAGACCCACAGAAATAAATTTCTCTATATACGGATTCCCACACAGCTCCTGTATTAATTAATTAATTAATTGGGTATTTTTACCCTGTCCAATACATTGCAGGCCTCTGGATGGCTTACAAGTCAAAATCCAATACATATATACCCAAATAATACAAAATAATCCACAACTGAGCATAAAACATAGTTAAAATATTAGACATTAAAATTACTGAAGAATAAAAAGGTCTTGATCTGGTGCCGAAAAGTATATAACGTCAGCGCCAGGTGGACCTCTCTGGGGAGCGCATTCCACAGCCAGGGCGCCACCGCAGAGAAGGCCCTCCCTGAGTATGTTCTCTCCTAACCTCCTTCAAGGAGGGTTCCCGGAGCAAAGCCCCTGCTGCTGATCTTAAAGGGCAGGTGGGCATGTAGGGAAAAAGATGTTCCTTTAGGTATCCTGATCCCAAGCTGTTTAGGGCTTTACAGGTCAATATCTGCACCATGGGACTGCGGGTGGCACAGTGGTTTAAACTGCTGAGCTGCTGGGCTGGTTGATCGAAAGGTTAACAGTTCGAATCCGCCTGATGGGGTGAGCTCCCGTGCTTTGTCCCAGCTCCTGCCAACCTTGCAGTTCGAAA